GAACACATTCTAGAGAGAAACCCTACAAATGCAATCAATGTGATAAAGCCTTTTCACAACACAATAGTCTCCAAATACATGAAAGAACACATTCTGGAGAGAAACCCTACAAATGCAATCAATGTGATAAAGCCTTTTCAGGACACAGTAATCTTCAAATGCATAAAAGATCACATTCAAGAGAGAAACCCTACAAATGTAATCAATGTGAGAAAGCCTTTTCACAACACAGTCATCTCCAAATACATAGAAGAACACATTCTGGAGAAAAACCCTACAAATGTAATCAATGTGAGAAAGCCTTTTCACAAAACAATAGTCTCCAAATACATAGAAGAACACATTCTGGAGAAAAACCCTACAAATGTAATCAATGTGAGAAAGCCTTTTCACAACACAATAGTCTCCAAATACATAGAAGAACACATACTGGAGAGAAACCCTACAATTGCAATCAATGTGGTAAAGCCTTTTCAGGACTCAGTAATCTTCACACCCATAGAAGGATACATTCTGGAGAGAAACCCTATGAATGCAAAGAATGTGGTAAAGCCTTTTCACAACACAGTCATCTCCAAATACATGAAAGAATACATACGGGAGAGAAACCCTACAAATATAATCAATGTAATAAAGCCTTTGCATATGCCAATAATCTCAGAGTACAAGAAAGAACACATACAGGAGAGAAACACTACAAATGTAATCAATGTGATAAAGCCTTTTCACAATGCTCTCTTCTCCGAAGGCATGAAAGAACACATACTGGAGAGAAACCCTACAAATGCAATCAATGTGATAAAGCCTTTACATACGCCTTTAATCTCAGAGCACATAAAAGAACACATACTGGTGAGAAGCCATACAAATGTAGTCAGTGTTGTAAAGCATTTTCACGACACAGTCATCTCCAAAACCATAAAAAAACACATACTAGAGAGAAACCCTACAAATGCAATCAATGTGATAAAGCCTTTTCACAACCCACTAATCTCCAAGTGCACAAAAGAACACATACTGAAGAGAAACCCTACCAATTTAATCAATGTGATAAAGTCTTTTCAGGACCCACTAATCTCCAAATGCATAAAGGAACACATGCTGGAGAGAAGCCCTACAAATGTAATCAATGTGATAAAGCCTTTTCACAACACAGTCTTCTCCAAAGACATAAAAGAACACATACTGGAGAGAAACCCTACAAATG